GAACAAATTAATTGAGTAGACTCACGTTGAATGCCCACCCAGATTATTTCTGTTGCCCAAGAGGACAACTTGGCCGAGGAACGTTACAGAGGGTCAAATTATCGCGAATTCCTTCCATGTGAACTCTGATCCATTGTTGGCACAAGTGATTCATGCATACCAATTGGAATGAAATCCAGGCGCATCTGTCTGATGGAGGTTGATGCAGTGATAATGGTCAACATTGGGATGACCTATGATCTGCCGTCAACTGGATAGTTGTGGTTCTGTAGGGTCTCATGAAGATCTTTTTGAAAAATCTGCACATACACGGATGGAGCCATTAGCCTTTCGTACTACCACAATGAGAGCAGCCCAGTCAGCGTAATCGACCGGTTGTATGACATCTGCTATCTGTGGACGATTAAGCTCTTGCTAAACACTGGTTAGGGCAGAATACGATACTGGACGTTTTGGACAAGAAACTGGTTTAGCATCTGTTCTCATCTGTAATTGGGTCTTCAGTTTTGTACACCGTCCGAGACCCTCCCGAAAAACTTCGTACCGCTGAAATAACCGCAGTAAAATCGTCTGCTGAAGCGCTGCATCGATAATTATGGGTGGAACGTTGATACCCAATGTCAAGTTGCACACTTTATCAATAAGGATACTCCAAAGCTTGAGCTTATCTAACCAATCAATACCAAGAATGTTCAGCCCTGGTTGATTAGTGAGGTAACATACAGACTCAAACGTTTGGTCACTGTAGGTTACCAAACGTAACGCACCATCCAATCCGAGAGTAGTTCCAGATGCACTAAGGGCAGTTTATGGTGTTGGCAAAACTGGAGTAGGTCCGATGACTACCCAAATGGATTGTGAAATGATGGTGATTTTCGATCCAGTGTCTAACTGAAAAGTTACGGCACATCCATTAACAATCACTGTCAGGTAGCGCCTGCCGGGATATCGCGTTGATCTGATGGGTAGCAACAATGCTGCGGCTAGCCTTCCTCTGTATTGGCTTGTAACATCTTTTGCTGGAATTGTCAGTTTTAGTCGAGTTGTGTGGCTTGCAGAAACCATCTTTGTGACCAAAACATTGACATTGGTTACACCGATGTCGACGAAAAGTGCACTGTGATGCATAGTGCTATGCGCCGCAGTTTCAACATCTTGTATGCCGCTTTTCGGACTCCCGCTCGTTTGATCTGCCCGGTCTGACATCCCTCATATTTATCTGCCGCTTTTCCACCATACTGAAAAATGCGTCAGCTTAAGCAGGCGTTGACACTCCTCAGTCATCTTCTGCAACGTGACGTCTGGGTCTTGCCTCAGTTTGGTGAGGAGTCGTGTGCGGATCTCCGCTTCTGTCGGAGACTGTGGACCAGAGATGAACATCAGACACTTGGGCTGTGTCTCTGTCATGGATGCCACTTTAAAGCGTTTGCACTCTCGGTTAACAATACCTGCATAAGTAATGTACCAATCCATGGAGTGTTTGACCTTTTATAAACAGTGACAGTGTGTGCTGAAGAGTGAGGAACGTTCACCAAAGATCTGAGTGAGACACTGCACCGTGTGATCGAATGAAAAATCACGTGGGTGTTTTGGCAAAAGATAATTTACAAAACGGTCTTGCTTCGTGACGCCAACTTACGCAGCGGTGTTCTTGATCGCCATGAATTCTCCTTGTCACCAAACCCAACCGGAAATATCTTCTCATAGCGTTTGAACCAGGACTCAAATGTACCACCAGATGAAACATGTTGAAGAACTGAATTGTATACACAATCGACTCCAAAGTGGTTTCTTCATCATGTGGCACCTTGTTCTTGGAAATCTGCGAGAGCTTACGAGTCACAGTGTCGAGTAGACGGAGTCGAGCGGCTTCGAACTGCGTCTGCTGTTGTTGTTGTTGTTGTTGTTGTTGTTGTTGTTGTTGTTGTTGTTGTTGTTGTTGTTGTTGTTGAAGAATCGCACGGAGATCGTTTGCTGAGATTGTCATTTTAATTGTCACTTCCGTCGCCAGTTGATTTGACCTGAACTACTCCAAGTAGGTGGATGAAAGACTAGATCGTGGAAATGACCAGGTAATATTGATACAACGTGAGCAAAAGTCAAGCGTCAACATATGCTCCGTAATGGCTGAGTTATACTGTTCATTAATGGGTAACTCACTGGTGATTGGTTGGGCAGTGACACAATCTGTTTGGATCAGGGGATAGCTGGGATCGGGTGCTGTGCAGTAATTTGGCTTAAACTTCCGTATATGACAAAGAGTCCAAACGTACTCAAAACTGTCATGGAGTGCAGTGTGAGTGAGCAAACAGCACCGAAGCGCATTTCTGAAATTGTTGGTCTTGTTATTTTCACGAAACAATTATTTGTCAGCCTAAAGCTGCCTTGGACGTAGGTGTGAACTTCCGTCATTCGTTTTGCACCTTAAGCTTGTCTGGTTACACCCACTGTTAGCTATATCTATGCTTATCGGTTATTGTTAATGGTACTGAGGAGACAATACGAAATGCATGCATCTACCAGCCTTCGTCTTCTTTCCGTGCTTTTCAGAAACTAGATAGTTCTAACAATTCAGCACCAATCTATCTCTGTTTTTCATTTCAGCAAGCGATCAAAGGCTATTCCTTCGTACCATTTCTAGTAGTTGTGTTGCTCTGCTGGGTGTTCATCTTTATGTACATGCCGGAAACACGGAACCGCAAATTCGACGAAGTTGCTCGTGGGTTGGCCCGTGAGCGAATGGTTATTGGAAGGCAGGCACTCAGCGACCGGCTTGGTTCACGAAGACCAGGAACAAATGATGCTTCGAACAAACGACTGTTTGTCAAGGGAAAATGGCTCCCCAGTGAATTGTACTGCTTTACGGAGGCCACGGATCCCTGAAAAGTTCCATGTCATTCGGGATGACAATTGACAACAACGTGTGTCAAACTGGCCATGCTAACAGCTTACACGTCAGTTTTAAACATTGCTTTTATAAGGTGCTTCGTATTTACTCGTGTTTTTTAACCTTCCGGCCACACGCATTGCTGATTTTGAGTGCTCATGAAAACGTATATACTGTCTCTGGCTACATTGACTTCGACAAAGCTAGTTGCTACATTTGGGCGCTTTGTACATCGTCTAGGCGATTCTTCACTATTTCTGGTTGTACGGAGCCTTTACGGTTTGTCTGTAATTCGTGTTTTATTTTCTTAGCAGTTGAATGGTAACTGCTGCTTTTACTTTTAATATTTTTTGTCCCATCATCTCACAAACTACATAACTCAGTCACAATTCAAGATCATGTGAACTTTTCGGCTTCTTTCATCACCGTGGGTCGTACGGGAAGTGACCCACCCAAATGAGTGAGTATAAGTGAATGCACTTGCATATTTTTTGAAATGGGTGCCTGCCACACTGAGGTTATAAAGATGACCAGATCGGTCAATAATCCGAGGTCAGGCCACTACAGTCTGTTGGTGTACCAGCTTGGCGCCTTGAAATATAGAGGTACCTTTTACTTTATAGGCCGGAACATTGTCACATTCCGATTGCCCTGCATTTCTGCTTTGAAACCAAAGGTTTTAAACAAAGATTCTAATCGAGTGAGGGTTAGCAGAAGGGTGACTCATAATGAGGTGATCTGCACATATCAGTTCATTTGAGCGAGTGCTTACTTGGGTCACTTTTCAAGTGCTATCAGGGTTGCGGCAGACACAATTGTGGCTAAAGGACAGTTCCATTTTTAGTACATATCTAGAAAGATGAAACTGAAGCAACAACAAATGAGACTAGACGGATCCACCAACTTCAACCGGCATTTTCGCCGAAATACCACCTGGGTACATACTTGGGTAGACGCATTTTCTTAAACAACCTGAAATCCGCAAATCGATTTAGGCCTTGCCTATTTTTAATGCAGCCCGCCGAAGATCAAGAAGAATCAGTTTACGCTTCCTCTAACGCCTCTAGGCGCGTGTAACATAATGTTCTTGAGGGCACATTTATGCTTTCTTTGTTGCTAGATTACCAGATCAATTTGATCTGATGCACTTCTCAAGAAGTCAATATTGATTGGCGTTAATGAACACTTTCGATTTGTCCAGAACATTTAATGTCGTCCTGCCTTAGTGCACTTCAAACACTTTCACTTGAAGTGAAATGCAAACTATGCTCCCTAATCATGTACACATGCACTCTGGAAGGTACATTTGCAAAATCGCACCTGACCCTTCTTACGCAACTCATAAACGAACTTAGCAAGTGGCCGCTTCGGACCGGTTCCTAAGCGCAGAGTATCTGCGACCGGCGTTTAGTTCGGCTATATTTCTGAGAATCCCTAGCACTAAATTGACGTCAAGGAAGACGGCCACCCAGCGCATTAATCCCAACTTCGAGAAATAGTGCAAAGCGAAGGCGCGCTGTGCCAACACCTGACGAATTGACCTTATCGCGAAAATCTCACTGATAGCAAGCCTTTTCCGACTCTTGTTACTTAACAATAACTTGAACGAATCCACCGGGGTTTCATTTGAGACTTGTGGAGGTACCAGGCGTAGGTCCTGAGCGTCACTTGTTCCGCTTAATGTTGCTGCCACTGGGATGGCTTTAATTACATTACGAAAAGTTCAGCCATCCCTTGAGTCAGTTGAACCGATGAACTTGGCCATACTACGGAGGCGGAACTGTCTGGCAATGTACTCTGGCAGTTCTGGATGACAACACTTTTTGGGGGGTGTAGATGTGTTGTGGTCAAGTGGTCATGTATCTCCGCGATACGGAAGACTTGATTTACTGTCAGGCACCCCTCGCGACATAATGCTGTTTGAGCGGTAGAAACAGGAAAACAATCATTCTCGTGACAGTAAGTATTGACAGCATTTTTATGATTTGCCATGAAGTTGGATGATTTTCTCAGGACATCCGTTGCCAAGTATTTTATTGTATATACACTTTTATTCGGTATTTAGTGAGTAGAGACGACAAATTCTCCTGACCCTTACAACAAGGTTTTCACAAGGCGAAGTTAGCACGTAACTTGGACGAAGTAGGAAAAATAACTTTATTGCAGAAGAGAACCGAACAAACGATATATTCCCGGGTATGCGTGGTACACGACAACCAGGTGGTCTGTTTACTGTGCTGTTCTCCTTAGGTTGCTTCGTCGTGCACGGTGCGTGGAACGGTTTAGCCATCAAGTTTCCTTATAAGTGCGTCAGGTTTGCGTAGATTGCGTGCACAAAATTGATGGATGCACACGAGCTGCGTAATCCTATTGGGTTCAAGGAAGGCGAATGTATTGTGAATCTCAAATCTCCTGATTGTTAAAGCTCACCTTGGAACGCATGTTCTAGATCCGTGTGTAATGGTGCGCGGTCGCATATAAGCAGCGAGATATCGGTAACATCGGTGCTGTTGGCATCAAGCACTTGTGAACGGCACTAAACCAGACATAAAACCAGGTCTGCCTTATCGCCCACATACACGACTGTTTGAGCACCACTTGTGCGCAACCCTAAAAGCAATCTCATGCAGGAGCGCCACATACACTGCCAGGCAGTTTAGCCTACTGGTATGGCCCACTTTCTCAGTTCAACAGACACACGGGATGGTTGGACATTTCCCAGTGTGGTTTATGTCAACCCTGTGACAACACGATTGAGTGGACCAAGTTGTGAACAGGGCCCGCACCTCGTCCATCCACCAAACCCTAATGAAGCGACGGTGAATTCGTTCAAATTGTTATTAAGTAACGGCAGTTGGAGACTGCTTTGTTGATAAAGATGATTCTTCGGGTGTCCTACGAAGTCGAACTGCACGCTTACGGCTGTTGACTGGCATCCAGTCAAGTAAACTGCATTCTGCATCATTGCTGAGGGCGATACGGACAGCATAATTTCCTTGAGCTATTTACTTCGTATCGCCAGAGGCGCTTAGCGTGTAATCCTTTACAGCAGTTTCGGAATCAAGAAGTAAAAGGTTCGTCACGACGCGGTTATCTTGTATATGGGTTTCAGAGGTAGCACACACCAATACCGAGGGAGTGTATAGTGAGAGTTAGTGCTGCTGTTGGCCGATCTACAAAAGTGCTTGCACGTCAAATGAATCATTGAGAAATGCGCATCTCGGTTTGATAGCTTCAGTTACGAGGTCCGTGACAGCCCCTTGCGCAATAAACGGGGGAGAAGTGATTAGCACAGTTAGAGGAGAAGAAGTGTTGTCAACCGGGTCGAGAGGGCAGATTATACTCTCCTGCTGTCCATTCCGGAAGAACGTTGTTGGTTAAGTTGTCTTACCGCTTGCTTTCCACTAGCAGTCTGACCCACATCGCGGTCACGTATATGGAGGTACACTTGAGTGGCTCTAAAGTAGCTCTCCACCTGCCACTGGTCCAACCTCCATGTCAGCCGATCATCGACAACGGTATTTGTGAACGATTTCATGTCATTATTCCCAAGGGCCAATTAATTCGCACTCATTCACGTGGGTGCCTCGGACAGCTCAGCGATGCAATGGGCGGACACACCGCGCAATCATATTTCGCATATAATTGGAAATGCCTGAAAGGTTAAGTGCCAACTACTATGCTTACTCGTGACTGCTAAGTCCAGATGGCACCACATGAGTTTTGTGAGTATACCCCCTAGCATGTGTGTAGCTTCAGTGTAGCCAATCATGCCTGAATACGCGTCTCGAGCGCAACTAGGCAACCACTAAATCGAACGCGATCTGCCCAACCCCCAACCTTCACTGGTAACTCATGTCTTAAACTAGTCTGATATGTCATTGGTTGGTTTGGGATTGGTCATCCAACGTGGTGCGCGCTTTGGTGCGTTCGCGCCAGGTGGATGGTATTTGATTACCCTAAGTAGGGTTCTGAATGACGTATGGACGAAACTTATTTCCTTAAGACTGAGATTGAAACGTTATGGATGTAATTAATTGAGAATAGTTGTAGTATTTGAGCCTTGGTCAGACGACCAGGCAATTAGTGTACACAACGGATCGATACAGAGTGATGGTGTTAAGTTATCATGCGGCAATGAGTTGGAATGGAGGAATGCAACATATGAGAAGGTACTGATATCTGTTCATATTTGATGATGAATCACACACGAAAGGGTCATATGATGCCTTGAATGGAGATAACAGCAGGCGTTTGAAAGTGTGCAGAACACCCAGTTTTGGTTACAGAAAAGGCAGAATCAGAGGATTGGACGCCAGTGACCATTGAGTGTTGGGTTAATTATATTCATCTTGTTGTTTTTGACCAGAAACCATAGCAGGTGAGTGATTAAATTCAATGGTTTTGATATGAACAATAATGATTTTATCTGCAAACGCTTACAATAATGTAGCCTACGTTAAATCAGGAAACTACCCATATATATGTCATTTAGTTGCCTAATGTTTTGCAGGGACCATATCTTCTGGAAAAAGCGGTCCTACAAGGAAGCTTTTCCGCAATTTAGTCGATAAAAATGTTGGGAAGCAGGAATGTTCTGTGCAGCAAAGTGCTCACGAGGGAAAGCATGAAACCTAACAAATTGAAAAAGCACCGACCGAAGTCACTCTCAGTTTGTAGAAAATATATTACATTCTTCAAACGGAAAGAAGCTGCGCCCAAAAGTTCACGCCTGGATACATTGGACTTCTTTTTCCGTCAACTGAAGCTAGTCTTGAAGCGTCATACCGCATCGTTCTCCGAATCGCAAGAAACAAGAAACCGCATACTATAGGACAGCATCTCATAAAACCTTGCATATTGGATGCCGTGAAACTTGTTTTTGGAGAACAACTTGCAGAAAAGATAAGCATGATATCACTTTCTAGCAACAAACTCATAAGTCTTATCTAGGATATAAGCAAGAATATTTTGAATAAGGTGCTCAACGAAATAA